CCGGCCAGCCGGGGGCCAGGCAGGCCGTGCCGTGAGCGCCGGACACAGCCCCACCTCGCCTCGTAGTAGGAGTGGGGCACCGGCCAGCCCTGTGCCAAGCACCAAGCACAGCTGCCCTCCCCTGCACATCAGCCACATGATCGGCTCCTACCCCCGTCATGGAGCTCCTGGTCGCTGCACACCCAGCCACTGTTTAAAGAAGTTTTCAAGTAGTCCGGAATCGCTCCCTGTCTTCTCCATGCACCAGAGCCATCAGCCACTGGCACTGGCCCTGCAGCAACCCCAACCTTGATAAATGACACTTCCCACCTTAAGTCAATAGAGCTAATTACAGAGGCGCCCAGGCCTCTCCTGCTGCCTCAGGACGGGGCCTCCTCCTGGGGACCTTATTTATGTTCTCTCCCCACGGGCCCCCGCTCTGCCTGCTCATCTGTGTGCTTGTTTCATGGGGGAGACGGGGCCTTTACCCGGCTCCCTCTAGCCACGGCCCGACTCTCCTCCCCTCTTGGAAACCTCGGTAAGCAGGTCCCACTCCACGTCCTCGCCATGGCTCACAGTGCAACCTGCTGCCTGCTCGCTGCCTGCACGGCTCGTTCGACCCAGGAGCCTACGCAGCGCTGCCTCAGGGCCCTACGTCACCACCCTTCCCAGGCCACTGGCTGAAACCTGAATTCGGAGGCCGGCCCAGCCTGTGGCTTGTTCCTCAGACCCGAGGCGCCCCCTCTGCTGTCATCCCCAAAGCTGGCAGCAATTCTCCGTCTGCACCTCCATACTCTGCCGGCTGGGCGTTCTGCTCAGGCTGTCTCCCAGCGTGGGCTCCTAACTCTCTCTGCTTCCTAAGTGGCTTGCAGTTTTTGGGCTCCCCTTACCTGGTGATCCTGGAAACTCCCTTCAGGTCACTTTTCTAAAACGGAACTTCAGTTGTGCCCCTGCTGCTCACAACGCTATACCCACTGCCACTGCCGCTGCCCCGGGGTGAAGGCGCCAGCTTAGCCTGGGGTCCCAGGCCTTTCTTACCAAGGGGGCCACACCCTAACGTCAGTCTGCCTGCCTGTGTCACCTCCCTCCCAGGCCCTCCCCGCTTCTCACACTGGTCCCCGTTCGGTCGCCGAGGCCAATCTCCTTGGAATTCATCTTTGCATGTCCGCGGAGCTGTCAAACTGCCCCGACCAAAGCCCCTTTCTCCCTTCGCTAAAACAGTGTCTTCCTAAATGCTGAACACCGACTCCTTGACACGTGGTGTTTTTTGTGCATTGTCTTTCCCTGCACCGCTAGAGCTGCAGCTTCTCGAGACGGGGACTGGCCATACACACTAACAGCCATGGAGGGTGGCAGTGATGGCGTGTTTATTTAATGAAGTGCCACTCAGGTGATTCCCCCGTGTGACTGAGCTGAAAAGCAGGTTCGGTGTTACGAAACAAACGTCAGGACTCTGCTCTCATTTCAAAGCAGAGAATTCAAAGTAACACACTCATTATAAAGCTGCAGTATTGTGTTAACAAACACAGAAACTTAAAAAGCGTTTGACGAGTGCGAGAGATCCCTGGTCCTTAGGTCACCACTGAGACACATGCTGCGTGGCACTGTTAATCAGGCGGCATTTCTATGGGAAAGCCAGGATGTGTTCTTCTATGCAAGAATGTCATCATTTTCCTTTTTCTTTCTTTTTTATTTTTTGGAGAGGTTTTTGCTATAGGGTGCGTATGTATGCTTGCCAGACAGAGAAAGAGACAGAAAGCGAGAAACCACCCCCAGGGGGATGGTCACACTGCAATCCCTTCTCTTCCGTTCTCCTCTCGGGATCTTAGGCATGCACGCACACATGCCTGGCGTGAGTTTAAGTCACTGGGTCTGAGCGCGAACCATAGTCGACTACATGGGAGTCCACTTTCTTACCAAGGGGGCCACACCCTAACGTCAGTCTGCCTGCCTGTGTCACCTCCCTCCCAGGCCCTCCCCGCTTCTCACACTGGTCCCCGTTCGGTCGCCGAGGCCAATCTCCTTGGAATTCATCTTTGCATGTCCGCGGAGCTGTCAAACTGCCCCGACCAAAGCCCCTTTCTCCCTTCGCTAAAACAGTGTCTTCCTAAATGCTGAACACCGACTCCTTGACACGTGGTGTTTTTTGTGCATTGTCTTTCCCTGCACCGCTAGAGCTGCAGCTTCTCGAGACGGGGACTGGCCATACACACTAACAGCCATGGAGGGTGGCAGTGATGGCGTGTTTATTTAATGAAGTGCCACTCAGGTGATTCCCCCGTGTGACTGAGCTGAAAAGCAGGTTCGGTGTTACGAAACAAACGTCAGGACTCTGCTCTCATTTCAAAGCAGAGAATTCAAAGTAACACACTCATTATAAAGCTGCAGTATTGTGTTAACAAACACAGAAACTTAAAAAGCGTTTGACGAGTGCGAGAGATCCCTGGTCCTTAGGTCACCACTGAGACACATGCTGCGTGGCACTGTTAATCAGGCGGCATTTCTATGGGAAAGCCAGGATGTGTTCTTCTATGCAAGAATGTCATCATTTTCCTTTTTCTTTCTTTTTTATTTTTTGGAGAGGTTTTTGCTATAGGGTGCGTATGTATGCTTGCCAGACAGAGAAAGAGACAGAAAGCGAGAAACCACCCCCAGGGGGATGGTCACACTGCAATCCCTTCTCTTCCGTTCTCCTCTCGGGATCTTAGGCATGCACGCACACATGCCTGGCGTGAGTTTAAGTCACTGGGTCTGAGCGCGAACCATAGTCGACTACATGGGAGTCCAGCGACATAGCTATTATGTTAACTGCTGGTCCGGAGAATGTCACTGCTTTTCTGCTCTGACAGAGAGCACTTGCAGCTGGGCCTGGCTGCAGAGAGGGAAGGCCCCCGAGAAAGGCCAACAGCTTTCAGGAGACATGTCGGCACGGTCCTGGCGCTCGGCTCTGCAGCACTATGGCCTGTGGGAGTCACCCTCTGGCTGGAGCTTCTTCAGATGTGAGGAGGACACGGGAAGACTCCGACACCCAAGGCCAGCACAGGGTTAGGGAGTCACCAAGGCTCACTCCTCACGTGACACCTGCACACTGTGGGGGGTCAGAACTCAAGGAGGGCTGTGACCCAGGGTAAGAGGGACCCAAGGCAACATCTCAGTCCTCTCTGCAGAGCGGACGCATGGCTGCCGAGGGTATGAGACTGACCTCAGCGGGAAGTGTAGAGCCACCTGGGTAGAGCGGCTGAAGAAGCCCGCACTTGGTGAGGGACAGGGAATTCTAGAGCGAGGTGTGACTACGTGAATCGGGTGTGAGCGTAGTCCCACAGCCTGGAAGTTAGGGGCAAGACCTCACATGACTGACGGTAGTCTGAACCCTGGTCTTGCTGGCCTGAGAAACTTGCCAGGTACTGCGTGTGTGTGCGCGCACGCGCGCCAATTCCCAAGGGAGGCTCCTGTTGCTCAGTGCACGAAGCCCAGAGCGCTCTCTGCACTGCGGAGCCCTTGGGAGTCCACTGCTCACCAGGATGCTGCGTGGGCCACCCCTGCTCCTGCCTGTCTCCCACTCAAGCCTCTGTCCTGCCAAACCTCAACCAGGACCACTCTGGCCCCTGACTCCACACCGGCCCACTCTCAAGGGCCTGGTTCAAGGCATAGCACCCTCTGTTCCCTGCTCCTCCTGCTGCAGCACCTGGCACGGCCTCCCACCCGGCGCCATCTCACCCCACTGCGTGCCCACACTTCCCTCACGTTCGGCTCCATCACAGTCCGGGGAGGCTGCTGTGCTTTGCTCAGTGCAGGGCGTGGCCCGGGCAGCAGCCCACACCTGCTCGGTCTCTCGTGGGACAGAGCTGCACAGCAGGCCCTCACGTGGGGGAGGACACTGGGCCGAGCCGCTAACAGGACACAATGACATGCGCAGATAAGTGAAGCCGAGGGGGCCCAGAAGGACGAGGCGAGCAGATGCGCTGGAGGAGGAGGAACAAGTGCCATGTGGGCTCAGGGGACAGAGTTGGCGGGCGATGCAGAAGAGCCAGTGTGCACAGGGCCCCGCGAAGACTCATGCCTAGCCAGCATCTCGCTAACTGGCAGCCTTTCGAGGGTCCTGGGAAAGGTGACCAGGGTCAGCATAGGCGTCTCCTGCGTCCGTGCTGCACTGCTCTGAAGGCCCTGGGCCCCGGTACATGCCCGCCACACACGCAGGGTGGAGGGAACACTTTCCTGCCATCCATCTGGCTTCTCCCTGGCCTCAGCCAAAGGAAATCCTCGAGGAGCGGACAGCAGAGAGTGGGAGAGGGACGAGAGCCACATCTGGCTGGTGGCTGGGTGCGTCCCGCGGCCCAGGCCTCCTGGTACAGTCATCTCTACCAGACTCTTCCTTCCAGCCCTTCAGGCCACGGGCTGGCACGGCCTCCTGCCAGCTTTCTTCCTCTGCCACTGTCCTCCCCAGCCGGAGCGTGTCCTACTTCCCTGCTGAGACATGGCCGTGGTCTCCGCGCTGCTGGTTGGGGAGGGCCCAGGAGAGGACAGGGTCGGGTAATTGGCACCAGGCCGGTATGAAGGCAGGGCAGATTCTGTGCTTCCATCACGGCACAAACTCCAAACCTAAAGGCCATGTACCCCCAGAAGAGAAGGGGGTCCTCCAGAAGCTCTGCATCACCATTTGGGAATGCAAAGCCAGGCAGAGCCGGGTAGGGGCAGAACTGAGGCCCGACTGCTGCTTCTACTGAATGCAGAGGGCTTCCCTCACTCAAAAGAAGATTCAAGTCAGAACCTCCTTGTTACTCTGGGTGTTTAGAATGTCTGCCGTGTGGAACGACCCACAGCACAGCTGTCCCGTGGGACAGCACAGTCCCTGAAATGCGATAAACAAGCCCGGGGGAGTGGGGTGGGGTACCAGGCTGCTTCCAGATCTCGCCTGTGGCGCCTACGCAGGGTCAAAGCGCATGGAGACTGGCTGGCTGTCCCGTGGCCACTCTGCGAGCCACACGGGTTCTGCAATGACATACCTGGCGTCCTTTACCCGCTCATTAGCTTGGTAATAACCAGCAACCACATAGCTGTTATCTTTGCACCATGAGTCAATCTGGAAGAGGAACAAAAATTGGGAAGAAAAGATGAATGATTTCCAGCTAAATGTCAAGTCTCAATAACCACAGGGCACCCCCAGCTCCCACACGCTCGTACGACCCTTGCAATCCTCTGCCAGGACACGGGCTGTGAATGCGGGTGTCAGGGGAACAAAGCACGCCGAGGGCAGAAGCGCCGGCCCTCTGAGACTGGACTCGTCACCGGCGGAGAGTGGTTATGCAGAGGAGCCCCCGTGGGACTGGCAGTAGGTGGGCAGAGCATTTAAACAATCCTTCAGGAAGTGAGAAACCAAGGCCCCGAGCTGGTGCAGCCAGGTGGAGGCAGAGCCAGGACGGGACTCCCGTCTCTCCATGCTGAGCGAGCACCGCGGGCCACTCCCTGCAACGCCTTCCAGCCGGCACACAGGCAGGGCTGTACCTGCACGTGGACTCAATTCCCTGTGGCAGACCGTAGTTTTTTTTGTTGTTTTATAATACTGCTCTCCTCTCATCAGATTTCCCTTCCTGCAAGTCTAATGCCATCACTAAAAACAACAAAAGGTCATCCTGTTTTGCCATAATGGAATTTTAATACACTGCAATAAATTCTATTCTCAGTCTGCATAGGGAACAGACATTGATCCCTTGGCTGATTTTCTGCAGTGAGTTTACTGGTTAAAAATGTATGTTCGAGAGTGTACGCGTGTTTGTAAAACACAACCCTCTCTCGCCTTTTCCCTGAACTCTGGTTCTGGCTGCCGGCAGTCTTCACAAACAGAAGCAGACATTACAAGACAGCTACAGCCCAAGGGTCCCTGGCCACACAAGGATTAGAGCCATTTCTGGCCTCCTCGGTGCTCACAGAATGCCTTACTGGGTCAAAGCAGGGCTCACTGAACTGAATGTTCTGGTCACCCACCCAAAGATTAGCGTTATGTACCCAAAATATTTATAACGGCGCCATCACCGCGACTGCTCCAGCGCCTCCGAAGCCACTTCTATTTTGTTTCCATCATCTCTTTAGGAAACAGCACTAGAAACTTTCTATCCCTTGCCTCTCCCTAACTCATCTCAAGGCGCCTTAGAGGACCTGGCCCTAGGCGGTCCCATTCCCTGACTGTGCGAGGTGCCCCCCTTATGTCCTCAGTCTTAGTTGCTTTTCTTTCTTTTTTTTTTTATAAAGAGGTTTTTGCCTTAGGGCGTGAGCATTGGGGGGGAGGAGATGGACAGAGACAAAGAGAGGAAGAGTGAGAAATCACGCCTGGGGATGGCCACAGCGCAGTCCCCCTCCTCCGGCCTCCTCCAGGGATCGCGGACACATCGCACACGTGCCTGTTGTGATTTTCAAGCCACCAGATCCGGGCCTCGGACAATGGGCAGTCACGTGGGAGCCCAGTGACGTGACTGCTACACTGTTGTACTTTCTCCCTGTCTTTGCGACAAGTCACCCGAGCTGCTGGACTCAGACGCAGGCTTTGGCGACCTCCCGGGTCAGAAATTCAGGGGGTAAGGTAGGCAGCCCGGCGCCTGGAGGCTCTGGAGGCGTCCTTCCTTTCCAGCCTCCAGAGGCCACCCCACCCGAGGCTGTGTGCTTCCTCTCACCTCTCCGCCCTCTGCGTCCACCATCATCTCCCCTGGCTAGGACCCTCCTGGCTCCTGTACCCGTGCTATATGGCCCACCCAGATAACCGGGGATAATCCCACTCCAAAGTCCTCAATTACACCTGCAAAGTCCCCTTGGCCATGCAAGGCTTCGGGATCAGGACGTGGCCCTCCTTTGAGGGGATGTTATTTGGCTGAATACACAAGTCACACACTGACTTCCGAACG